TGATGCCAGTTGTCCTGCATCTTATTATGATGCAGACGCAGGTACCCAGGATCAGCATTCAGCACGCCGTTGATCTAGTTGAGCACTCTAGAGTCAGTGGTGAGCCTCATTACTTTCCGGAGGACTCAGTTGTTTTGATCCTTTTAGTTTTGTTTTAATTAGGGTGTTGTGGGGTCTGTCCCAACATCCATCTCAGTATTGTAGAGGCTTCATAGACAGTCAGTCAGTTAATATTGAGTCTCTCATCTATGTATATATGTAAATATTCTATTTTGAGACTCGAGTTGCCTTTTGGCAAGTTATGCATCAGTTGGTTGTTTTATAACCTTTCATTTCATTGAGTTGTGCTGTTGAGTTAAGTTTCCGCTGAGTTAAGAAAGCCTGGCCAAGGGTTCGCTTGGGGCCAGCAATGGTCTCCGAGTACCGATCCCGCCCAGGGTGTAGGCTCGGGGCGTGACAGAAATTCTTCGAAAAAAAATGGTGGTATGCTATTAAAACAGCAAATGTCATCCAATTTAAACCAAGTGTTTACGATAGAAGAGCTTGAAAAAGCCACAAACAATTTCTCAGAAGATAAGATTCTTGGAGTAGGCGGAAATGGTGTAGTTTACAAAGGTGTTCTACCAGATCAACGCGTAGTTGCAATCAAGAAATCAAAATAGAAGAGTTTATAAATGAAGTCGTAATACTAACTCAGATTAACCACAAGAATGTGGTGAAATTGTTGGGGTGTTGTTTGGAGACCGAAGTTCCTTTACTAGTCTACGAATACATATCTCATGGTACACTTGACGTTTATAGTTTTGGTGTAGTACTTGCAGAGTTGTTAAAAGCTATTGATCTCACTTTACCCAACAAAGAGAAAAGCTTAGCCGCGTATTTCACAGCTTCTATGAAGGAGAATCGATTGTTTCAAATTCTCTATCATAGGGTTTTGAAATAAGGCTCTTTAGATCAACTTAATGCTATGGGTGAGCTTGTCGTTAGATGCCTTAATATCAAAGGTGAAGAAAGACCTACCATGAGAGAAGTAGCGAATGCATTGGAAGGATTCACTAAATATAATATCCGTTCTTGGGCTCATGATCTTGATCAAGAAAATGATAATCAACTACAAATGGGAGAACAAAATGATCTTTATACTATGTTAACGCCAAGTGTTCAACAAAACTCTGAGTATAACATCAAACGTGAAGAACATAACCTTGACAATATTTCATAAATTTGTGTATTTGGATCGATGTTCATTCATTGCTAGCTATACACAACCCAACCTGAGGGTCTTCTTTCGGAAATAGTCTTTCTGCTTTCACAAATCACAAGGTAGCATATGTTATAGTTGTTGTATTCGTGTTTACTTATTGCTTATGTTACCTATTCGATAATAATAATTACTTATTGCTTAATTAGTATGATGTAATAGTGGTCTCTAAATGAATATCAAGTTTTAATTTTCTTATTATTGACCTTAATCCTTTTCTAAATGTTAAAGTAGGTTAGAGTCCTACATTGGTTGGAGAATAGACGAGTGGTTTGTTTATATGAACTTCGGCAATCTTCCCTCATGAGTTAGCTAGCTTTTGAGGTTGAGTTATACTCAAATGTCATATCTTTATATGGTATCAGAATCGGGTCCATCCATGTTTGAACTCTCAGTATAGTTGAGACTAAGCGAGTGTGATAAAGTGGGTTAAAGTCCCACAATGATTGGGATCAGACAGATGACTTACTTATATGAACTCGAACAATCTTCAGTACCTTATAAACTACCTTTTGATGTTAAGTTATGTTCGATCATCATAAAAAACATGAAACTTTTCAAAAGACGGAATATATAAATGGCCCCCTAAACTTACCAAATATTTTCAATTTAGACAATTGAAATTAGGGTACTGCGGCCTATTAAATACTTTAAGTTGTTGGATATTGTTCCTATTAAACGCTACGAAATGCACAAAGTAGAGGAGTTTTTCTCATTTGTCCTTATTTTGATGAACAAGATTATCTAATTAATACCTATTGTTGATGGAAGGTTGAACATATACTTCGAATGGTATGATCCTGTTTGCGATGTATTTGATCTACGGAAATTATGTTGGATAGTACTACTTCATCGTTTCTAGTTGATCTCCGGGAAGACCTATGTTGACTGACCCAAGAGAGATATATAGTACCCATATCAATAGTTGAAAGGGTAGGTAGTTTAAGTGTAGATGAATTCTCTTTGTATAATTTTAACTAACTCACGTAAGTCATCAAATCTATTACAAAAGTTATGTAATAATGTTGTATGTTACTGGTTAAGACATGTCATTTTGGACACTTTGTGACTTTTAATTGATTTTTGCTTTAACTAGAAATTGTTAAATCATTTAAATACGTAACATCATTTTGCTTATCTTGAATTAGACAAGATATCATGTCACCAAATACATAACATAAAATAAATATAATTAATAAAGTCAAAATCAATTGATTATTGGACCCAACTAATTTAGATTCTACTCCAAAATTTATTTGGACTAAATTCAATGATTTTTATATATCTACACCCCATCATTATAATCAGGGGATAACTTATTAATTTATCAATCTCCAACCAAAATGGCCCCTCAATGATTTATGTTTCCTCTAAAAGATAGCATTTTCAAACTTTACATCCTAGCTAGTCAAAGGAAGCTATAATTAAGTTTGGTGATTAAATCTTCTAGATTTTTCAATAACTAAATCTACTTATTTACACACCTAAATGAAATATGTTTCATCCAAAGTTATCTTCCAAATTTTCATGATTCTTGTATCTTGTCTACTTAGTAATTATTAATCTCATGCATGCACCTTTCAGTGAAATTAAAGTTATATTAGGCCAAAAGTTTAACAATATTCACACTTTATATATCTAGGGATGAGAGGGATCGATCCAACATTGCATGTGTGGAGGTTCACGAAAATACAATAATTGGATGTCAGTAAAAGTAAAAAGATATTCAAAAATAAATATATTGTTGCTTTAGATAATAATCCTCAAATCTGTTAACTTTAGGGATTAAAATAACACATATTAACTAACTGAAGGTCAAATAAGTTAAATCGTATAACACAAGAACCAAAATCGCAATAAGACAATAACTTGAGGACCATAATTATTATTTTCCTGATGTGCAATGTATAGTTAAAGACTTAAAAGGTTCGAATAAACTCAATAACTATGATTTGAACTTTGCATTATCTTAAATAACTTTATATTACGTTGACAAATTCACTAAATACGTATAATTACAAATATTAGAGTTCAAAAATCATATTACTTTCCAACAAATAAAGGATAAACAACTTTTCAAAAAGTCCTAACTTTAACATCAATTAGAATTAGTTGGGGGAGTGGAAGGTTTTGGAAAAATGACATAACTTATTACTTTGGTATATATGGAAAGGGTGAAGGTATTTTGGAAGTTTCTTATGGTTCTTTTCTGCTTTTTCTTTTCTTTTTCCCACTCGATGTCAATACATATTAAAATCTGATTAAATTTTGAGTTGCATTGGAAATCGAGCCAAAAAGTAAAACGCTCGAAGATCTGAACCTGAGACATCTGATTAAGAATAAAGATGCACCTACCACTCCATCACAATCCTGGTTGATTTTACCTATTTGTTTACTATAGTACGTACTAGAAAGGGTCAAAATATAACGAAACTAATAAATAAAAGATTTGAAGTTTTTTTATACACTAATAAAACAAAAAAAAAATCTACATAACTAGGTTCTCACCTTATTACAATATCAAATTTAATATAAAGAATTATCTATTGTAATAATTGGTCAACTTAACCTAATAGTGTAAAAAAAAAACACTATACATTTATCCATACACCAAACTTAAATTCAACTAAATAATAATTAGACAAACATTGACTAGCTAGAAAGTAATTAATTAATGCCTAAAAGTCCCATGCAACCAGATTTTTCTACGTTGTTTACCAACCAGTAGAAAAAATTGCCGCATTTGAATGAGTCTCTAGTCCTTATCACAATAAGTAATTTTCACGTGTAGCTAAAGATATTGTCTAACATTTTTTAATAAAAAAGTCACGCAGTTTTATCTAAGTATCATATAAAATACGATTAATGTAATTTTTATTTTCTCACTTAGTGTTCATAGAAAGTTTCATGTTATTTATACTAGAGTTCGATTAAATTTGAATTCGTGTGGAAAGTAAAGAGCTCCTTAATAAAGGTGATTTCGTACCCAAAGCAGTCGAACTTGAGACCTCTGATTAGGGATGAAGAGTACTTACCACTCAATTACATCCCTCGATAAAATACTATATTTTTTGTTTCATCTTTAATGATTTTTTTGTGAGTTCTAAGCAATGTTGAATTACTTTTTGATTACATAAAATAGTTTAGTGATTCATGTGAAACATAAGTTAAGGAGTTTGGAACCAAAATGGAAATAAAATTAATCAAAAATTTCAAAAGGGCATATAATTTTTGTATGAAACCAAAATAAAATGTTGTCGGTAGGAGTGTTAATGGTACAATTCGATCGGTTATTTTTCAAAATTAGACTTTTTAAAATCGTCTCACTCATATCGGTTTCTCTTTGGTATCGTATGGTTCGGTTAATTTTTGATTTTTTTACTCTTAAAATATCACTTCAAAATATACTATTATTAATATATTTCTTTTACAAATATGTTGTTGAAGAATGAAGAAGCACTTTAATCCTTTACCAAAAAGACAAGAATGTAAACCTTTATTGTCATATTGTTTGATCTTAAATATTTAATTGGAGTGTTTGGATAGGTTTTGTTGTATTGTTTGATAGAGTATCTATTACAGTATCTTTTAATTTAAACCTAATTAAGGAAAAGTTAATTAAAAAGCAAAGACCCAAAATCTCCTAGTCATCAGAGGTCTAGGACCTAAGTTATATTTATATTTGAAAAATGTTATAAAATATATTATATTAAATTTAACATACTGTTAATATATAAAATATATTTACATGTAAGGTTATTCGGTTCGATTCGGGATTTTTTTTTTCATAAATTAAAAAAAAGGAAAAAATTGTATGAAATAGCAAACTATTAATTCAAATTAAACGTTATAGCCATAGTTGATTTTATTTGTAATTCGCAGCAAACATTCCATTTTTTTGTCATCTGATTCGGTATACAATCCTTTACCAAAAAGACAAGAATGTAAACCTTTATTGTCATATTGTTTGATCTTAAATATTTAATTGGAGTGTTTGGATAGGTTTTGTTGTATTGTTTGATAGAGTATCTATTACAGTATCTTTTAATTTAAACCTAATTAAGGAAAAGTTAATTAAAAAGCAAAGACCCAAAATCTCCTAGTCATCAGAGGTCTAGGACCTAAGTTATATTTATATTTGAAAAATGTTATAAAATATATTTATATATTAAATTTAACATAATATATTAAATAAAATAAAACGGCTCACATTTTCCTTCTTTTATTCTTTAGTTATTTTAATATTTTCATTCTTTATATAGTTATTTTAATACTTAATTATGTTGATATTTTTCTAATTTCATATATTTTGAACTTTTTTTTTTATAAGAAAACTGACACTGCGTGGACTAAGTCAATTATAAAGTGAACCTTAGGCTCTGCAGGAAAGTAAATGCACAA